AATTAGATTACTGGAAACTCTTTGCTCAGCTGTGAAATTATACTAAATCCTTATTAGAAAGTGTTTCAAAGCCGAGGTTTCTAACGGGCTAGTGCTCTTTGCGTTACATTACGAACTCAGTAGATAAAACCAAATTACCTTGTTACTCACACCGACGCAGCACCACAGTTTCCATAGAAACTTACCCATTTATTCATATCGTGTTATTATTAGAAGCGCCCATCTAGTATCAGGGATACACAGCTTCGACGGGAACCTTCGACTCCCATCGAAGCTCGGAATCTTTTCAGGCTCACTTACGAGGATCATTGCTTTCCTGGATTCTCAATCCACAAGTCAATTGGAATTTATTTCATTACAAATTTCGATCTGCATATCATTTTTGACAAATTTTTGCTATCTTTCTGATGCAGACTGCTTCTCTGACTGATTCTAATTAACGATTTAAACAAGTAAAGTTTCTCCTTGTGTTTAATTGACAGGTAAATCGAAATACTGCTGGATATCAGACAAAACAGCAATGATTGTTGCTATGGCTACCCCAGTGAGCCTTGCTTTGGTTTTCAATATAACGTGTCTATCAAAAAATCTCTATGGTATCCATCAGTTACAAAAGGTATGTATTAGGACGAATGCGTCTGATGAGGGACTTGAATGATATAATGATTTGATCTTTGGCTTAAGGACTGTGGGAGGCATTCCGGCATCAGACAGTAAACATTGAGAATTGGGAGGCATCCTGCTAAGATCTTCATTACAGAAACCCATAAGAGTTTACAATACGTTCGCTTTGAAATATTTTTAAACCTTTTCTTTTGCATACTTTTTATGAACGGGTTGAATAAATCAGAAAAGCTTTAGTTCGTTTGTGTTTTTTGTTAACCTTAGGGTGCCAGTCTAGCAGCAAACAACTCCAAGGCTTCTCTGATCCTCATCTGTATCAAGCTGACCACAGTCATGGGTCTGACCTGGGTACTGGGACTTGCTGCTAACTGGAAACAAACTGAATTTCTTCACTACCCATCCACCCTGATGAACAGCATGCAAGGTGCTTTTTCAAGTTTGATTTTTTAAGTACCGAGGCACACGTGTGTGCTACGTGCGTGCGTGTCCGCACTCCCTATTCAAAATTTCCCAAAAATAAATGACTTCTGTAGAGTTTATTAGCAAGAGCAAGTCTCCGTAATGTAAACAGAAT